ATACTTAGAAACCAAGAAGGAAAGAAATAAGACAGAAAAAAATTACAAAATGACAAATTATTTCCAAATTTGATGAAAACTTCCAATCCTCAGATTCCAGATTCACAACAAATATCAAATGGTATAGACACAGTGAACCACACTTAGAACAACATAACCAAACTCTGAAAGCCAAAGAGAAAGAAAATCTTAAAAGTAACCAGAGCAGAGGAGTTTACACACAGAGAAAAAGCCAGAAGAATGCTATCTGGTCTCATAAGAATCAAGGAGTAAGATGGCAATAGACTAATATTTTTAAAGTGCTCAAAGAAAGATACACTGTTAACTCAGAATTCTCATTGGAATTTCCTTCAAAAGTAGACTTAAAGGCAGAAATAAAACAAAGGAAAAGAAAAAAGAAAAGAAAAATAAAGACTTTCTAAAAAACAAAAAAGAAATATAAAAGGAGCGATTCATTCCTAATAGATCTATAAGAAATATTGAAAGGCTTACACAAAGAAATTAACCAAGTTTGAAATGGAACATAGAAGTAAAATAAAAATCCATTTTTAAAGTTTTAATTGCTGCAAAGCATAGCTACTTAAAAGAAAAAACAATAGCAACCTATTGTGTGTTTTACCATATTTAAAAGTGACAATATGCTATATGATTACAGATTAAAGGGAGGAAATGGGCAAACTCTATTCAAGGGCCTTACACTAGATGGGAAGTAGTATAATATTATTTGGACATCATTTCTGATGAATTAAAAATGTACATTGTAAGCCCTGAGTAAACAATTAAAATGTTTTCTAAAAGTATAAAAAACATGTCAATAGAAGTGATACAATGGAATAGTAAACAATATTCCATTCACTCAAGAGCAGGCAGAAAACTGGAAAACAGAAACAACAGATGGAAAAAAATAAAAATCAGTTATTATGCAACAGACTTTAATCCAAATATATCACTAATCACTTTAAGTGAAATTGTTCTAAACATGCCAGTTAAAAGTCAGAAAGTATCAAAGTGGATTAAAAAAAAGCAAGATCCAATAATAATCTTTTAATAAGAAACTTGCTTTACAGATAGAAGTAGGTGAAACTAAAAATACTAAGAAATATGTACCATGAAAACATTAAACAGAGCAGCTATATTAATACGACAAAACAGATTTCGAGACAAGGAAGAAATAATAATCTTCTATGTGCATGCACCAAAATTTTTTTTAAAAAAGCAACCTTCAAAATACTTGAAGCTAAAACTGGTAATTCTAAATGGGGAAACAGACAAATTCATAATTATAGTTGGAAATGTCAAATTTTTTCTCAGTCATTGGTAGAAGTAAGTAGAAAATCAGTAAGAGCTGCAGAAAACAATTAACCAACTGACCTAGTTTACCTTATAAAATTCTCCTCTCGACTACAGCAGAATGTACATTCTTCGCAAGTGTACGCGGGGTAACACACTCAGACACACACACACACAGACATACACACAGTGGGACATAAATTTCAAAGAAAAGAAGTCATAAAAAGGATGCTCTTGGACTAGGATCATACTTCTAAATAACCCATAGGTCAAAGGGGAAGTATGAAGAAAATTTAAAACTATTTCTAACTAAATGAAAACATATCAAAACTAGAGGGGTGTAGCTGTAATACTTAGAGGGTATTTTTAGTATTATATGATTATGTTAGTCAAGAAGGAAGGCCTCAGTGCAGTTAATCTAACCTTCTGCCTTAAGAGACAGGGAGCAAAAAGTACAAGTAAAATCAAAGCAAGCACAAGGAAACTGGCAACCATTAGAGTAAATATTAGTAAAATTTAAAACAGAATAATTTAAATAATTTAAATTTAAAACAATAGTCAATCACATAAATATTAAAAACCCTACATAATTGATAAACTTCTATCTTTCTGATGAGATAACACAAAATATCGGCAAAGAATGATCATCCCACAATGGTCCCACAGACATTAAGAAGATGACAAGAAAGGCTGCAGTAACCAACCCTATGGCCTTAAATCTGACAATGAGATGAAATCAATAAAATAATCACTCAAGAATAAGTGATTAATAAGTCAAAAAGGAATTAAATAGTCAAAACACTTCTGAAAAGAACAAAGTGGGAGATCTTGCACTATTCACTTTCAAAACAAATCAATGTTTTTGGACAAATTCTACTGCCAAAATTCACCATGTATGACAAAATGCTTACTCAGAAAGAAGTAGAAGAGTGATTCTTTTTTTTTTTTTTCTCATTGAGTTTATTGGTACATTTTAGGTATACAGTACAGTTACATTCATCATTGGGATCTTGTACCTTTACATGACAGGTCTTGGTTCTCATTTTTTGCCCTTATCCCTGCCTTCCCTTCAACCCCTCCTCCTTTCCCTATTTACAAATACTTATTTCCATTTTTTCATTTTCTCATGCTTTTTTTCATTTCCCTTATTACCTTTCCCCTACCCTTCCCACTTTCCCTACACCTTTAGCCCTTTTCTTCCTATTTCACACTGTCAATTATATCATTAGGATCAGCCCATTTGCCCATCAGTTGGAGATTGGATAAAGATGTGGTTTTTCTATAAAATGGAATACTACTCAGCCCTAAAGAATGAGAAATTAGAGTCATTCATAGGAAAATGGATACATATTGAGGATATACGTGAAATAAATAAAGTCACACATGTATAAATACATAAGAAGAGTGATTCTTCAGTCTAATAAAGGCCACTTTAAAAGCCTTACATCAAGGCTGGGGATTTAGCTCAGTGGCACCATGCCTGCCTTGCAAGCGCAAGGTACTGAGTTCAATCCCAAGTACTGCAAAATAAATAAATGAATAAACAAATAAACAAACCCTACAGCAAACATGGACTACTTAATGACGAAATACTGAATGCTTTTCCCTTAGTAATAACAAGAAGATACACTTGCCCACTCTCACTGTAGCTATTTGGTATTGTAGTGGAGGTTTTAGCCAGTCCAATAAAGCAAGAAAAAATTAAAAAGTATAAACTGTATGTATTTAAACATAATATAGTATGCATTCAAGCTTAAATGTCACACGGTTTCCTTTATATGAGAAACTCAAATTATAAATAAACAGCAAAATAAAAGATAATAGGAATAGGGAGATCCTTCTCAGATGGGAAGCAGATCAAGAGATGGAAGGAAGAGGAGGAAGTGGATGAAAAGGGGGTTAAAAAAGAATTGAGATGTGTTATGTACATGTACAAACTCTACATAAAGAATGTAAAAATTGGGCCGGGATTCCAGGGCCCCACACCCCCTAGAGGAGAATCAACGCAAGCTCAGAGGTTCCATCGCCTGCCTCACAAGCGCAAGGACTCAAGTTCTATCCCCAGTACCAAAAGAAAAAAAAAATGTAAAAATTATGTATTTCAATCATGTACTAATAAAAAAGAGAGATAATAGAAAAAAGAGAGCTCGATCTTTTGTAAAAGGGAAGGCCATCAAGAAATAGAGGGAGGTGGCAAGATGGGATGGAAAGGGGATAAAAAGAGGAATTAAAGTGTGCTGTATACATGTACCAACTCCCCATGAGGATTGTAATCATTATGTACTATACCAAAAATATGCACAGTACTAATAAAAAAAACAAAAGGAAAATCCCAAAAAATCTACAAAGAAACTACTAAGTCTAAAAGGTGGATTTAGTGAGAATACAGGTTACAAGTTCAATATACAAAACCTGATTAGCTACCAACAAGTGAGTGGAAATGTCCAGTGAAAGAACAGGTAAGTAAATTGTGGTTTATTCATTTAACATTTCTACACAGTAATAAAAAATTAAACTATCAATAACATTAAGGAACATCAAGACATATTGAAGGAAGTAAACTGTACTGAATACATACAGAATGATTTCACATATATGACATTCAGAAGCAAAGCCAAGCAATGGGAATGGAAATCAGCAAGCTGCTTATCTCTTCTACAGTGGTGAGGTGGGGATGGACAGTAAAGGGGTTTGAGGAATTTTGTAGGGTGATGGGAATGTTTTATATTTGGTTGAAGTGTTTGTTACACAAGTAGATGTTTGTCAAAACTCACTGAACTATACACCAAAATCTGTACATTTTACTGTATGCAAATTAAACCTCAAACAACATTCAGAAACATTAACAGTTTAAGCAACAGATATTGAATGTGAGTGATTTAACTGTTTTTCAGGGAGCTTGCACACATCTTTGGGTGGCTACCTGATGCTCAGTCTATAAGGTTCACCATTGTTGGTGTACCCTCGAATCCTCTCATTCTGCCCCCCAGCCTTGTGAGTGACTGGAGCACAGGGCACCCCACCCCCTCCCAGCCAGGCACAAGGGGCTAGAGACCCACAAGTCAACAGCACACTAGATATGGCAATGACCACCTTCCTATGGTCACTCACTCACCAATGTATAAAATTTCAAGCATTTGTCAACTCTAATTTACATAGAACTCAATCACTGGAGTTGACAGCAGAATTACATATGGAAAGGAGGGCCCAAAGTTTGGATTTCTATTTCCAGTCCACCTGGGCCCCATGTTGCTTATCTTTAGATTGCAAGGATAGTAATAACTGAAGATCTGCAGTAAATGTGAATTTCCATGGGTATTTATAATATTGCTGATGCTGTTTTACTCAGTACCCTAACACTTTCTCCTAACCACAAGTACACACACCTTCACCTATTTTTCAATATTTTACAATCATCTAGAACCTTTACCAGAAAACAGATATATTTTAATTGTCTGTTACTTTTGGCAACTAGCAAAACACTAGTCAAAAAGGACACTTTTGAAACTTCTTGAATTTTCTGTAGATTCCATTCATCTGTAGAGTAAAAGTTTGGATCTCACATTTAATTTAAACATCAGATTTTAACCATAGGCCCATTTCCTGTTCACAGGTTGGAAAATGAGCCCTTTGCCTGCTTTTCCTTTAAGTTTTTGGTAATTCCAGGGCCCCACACTCCCTAGAGGAGAATCAACCCAAGGCCATCTCACCTGCTAGTGAAGATCAGGGCCAGTGCTGTGGTCAGGTAAGGCATCAGCCACAGTGTCTGTGTTTGGTGCTTAATGATCTTCACCTCTTCCTTGGCTTTGGGTCCAAAATGCCTCCAGCTAGAAAGAATCAACAGACATAATTTGTCCCCAAATACAGTAGGCAATTTCATTTCTACAGCTGAAAGTAACCCAGACAGATATTTGCCTTTGAAATACTTCAGCACACAGGAACTTCGGTTTCCAAAACTGTGGATAGGACAATCCTCAGATTCTGAAGAAAGAAATCTTTTTAACTCTTCTAGAAATTAACCTTCCCACCATGGAATATTTTTCAAGAAATATATGTAGCTAATACAAAGTAATTTTTACTCCTTAACATTTGCATGACATTTTATAGTTCCAAGCACCCTGGGATCATCAATTATTCAGCTTTACGAGGGTAGTGACATAATTAATAGGATAGGAGCCGAAGCCTAGGACATATTTCAAAAGGACATTCTCAATAAGGAGGGCAATGTTAACCCCAGTGCTCCTGCCAGCTTCCCAGGTAGGTCATTACTCTCAGCACTCCTAAGGCTCCCTGCAGGTCTACATGGAAAGCGTGTTCTCCATACCTTGCCTTGCATCCCATGCCTAACTCACAGTGGCTGCACCACAGTCTGAAGCAGCTGTGTTGGGAGAACCATGCTTTCCCCCAGAGCAGTGTGGAAGATGGCATGGGATGTCTCCACAGGCAAAGCCCACAGACAAACCCTGCAGAATCCCAAGGCTGCCAACTTCTAAGAGCCCAGGCTTGACCTGAGGGTGCTCCCTGCCCTGTGCAGGCTGACTCTCTGAAATCCTGGGCTTGGCAGAAGCCTTTTTTCGAGCAGCTCTGAGGTTAATGTTGACTTCTTAAAGAACAACGTTTTACACAAACATGTGAATACACACCCATGCATGTACAAACACAGTGCTACATTGCCACTCAGGGCAAATGTGCTGCAGACACCAGAGGGTCAAAGATATCCATCAATAACTCACAGAGGGAGAGGGAAGAGCAATTTCTTTAAAACATTTGTATGTGATAGACTTTCTTAAACATAATTTTAAATCTTAAAATTATTCGTCTCTTGTTGTAACCGAAAGAACACTCATCTTTTCTAACCTTTTTAGTGTAATAGGCATCTAGAGGTCACAACCTGGCCTGTCCTATGGGTGGGCAGGGGGTGATGGGACAAATAGTAAGCACACAGAGGGCAGCCCGTGGGAAATACTGCAAGCCCAGACTTCCCCCAGGCTCACTTCAACCACAGGGTCATCCCTGGAGTACTACCCACCCTGACCTTGGTCCATGCCCTTTCTCCCTGCACAGAGCTAACCACAGTAGGGCATGGCTCCAAATGGGAGGCCAGACCACCTATGAAAATACTAAGTTGTGATTATCTTCCCTCAAAACTAAAAAAATCGCAGATCCAATAATGACGTCATCATGTTAGGTTATTGCTGTGGACCAAATTGTGTCCCTACAAAATTCCAAAGTTGAAGCTCTAACCCACAAGTTACTATTAGGAGGTAGGGCTTTTAGGAGGTAATTGTGGTGAAATGAAGTCATAAGGGTGGGGTACTGATCCAATAGGATTGGTGACCTTGTAAGATGAAGAGATCTTCCTCTTTCTTTCCCTCCACCTTGCTCCATGAACTGAGAAACAATCACGTGAGGGTACAGCAAGAAGGCAGACATCTGAAAGCCAGGAGGAGAAACCTAAGACACTACATCTACCAGCACCCTAACTGTGAGAAATAAACATCTATTGTTTAAACAATCCAATCTATGGTATTTTCTTATAGCAGCCTGACTGTTATAACGTAGTCATTTTACAAATTCCAGGTGCTCCCATTCCCTTTCTATTTTTAAATGCTATGACTATGCTGTAGCTTTATCTTTATCTCTGTGGCTAAAACTTTATCAAAACCAGACTTGACCACACACAACTCACTCCTTTGAGGGACGTTTGTCTGCTTTGTGCCCAGCAGCACACTAAGTGTCAAGACCCCAAGTCCCAGCCACTGAGTCATCGCTCTGGACATAAGAAGACCCAGACAAGGCAGCATGGACATTAAAAGCTTTGAACATGGTGTTACCTCCCACTCACTATCAACCACCATCATTTCATCATGTGCTGGCCGAATATCATTTCAGAGCACTCTAGTCACAGAGCAACAGACAATGCAGTGATCAATCGCAACACTGTTAGTTTTTTATTTGCTCAAAAATCACTACAACTGTATAGTTCTAAACAACATCTCATCGAATTTTCTATTCCTCTGCATGAAGTCTTGGTACTGGCATAGCACTCAACAGATGTTCCACATTGAATGAAGGAATTTTGTAAACAAACAAACAATAAAAATGGAGATCAAGCATGGTAGGGTGGCCTACTCAAGACTCCAAGGAAGGTCTTTGGCTGCTAGATCTGCCCCCATCAATTGTGCCTCAGTTTCACAATGTAGGCACACCTTGTCATGATTCCGCTACCTCTTTGACCATTCTAGTTCAACTGGAATGGCAGAGGTAGAGCAGAAAGACAGTGTCTGTTATCACGTGGTCAGGGAGGAAGTTAGCTAATTCATTGCTGAATGAATTAGGCAATCACAAAAATCAGATTTCATGAGACCTTGAACTTCCAGTCTTTGTTAAAGAAAGAGAAAGATTTGGAAACTCTGAATCCCACTCCTAAGATGTGATCTGCTGAACCTCAGAGTCTCCAGCCATTTTGGTCCAGATCTTGCTATTCTCCATGGTCTCTCAAACCCTGTCCACTCACTGACATCACCTGCTGGCCTAAGTGGTAATTTCTAACCTCTGCTACAGTGATTTCCTCTTCATCCAGAATAACTTTCTTTATCATCCTAACCAGTAAAGTATGCTTTGTGACTATGGTGCAGAGTGTAGGCATTCTACATGAGTTTCTGAATTTTCTAGGTGAGCAAACAGCTTCCTCAGTAAGTAAAATCCAATTGCCTCAGCTTGGCATTCAAGAGCCCACACAGCCTTACTTGCTTCAAGTTTTTTTTCCTGCTAAGCCCGTTCACAGGCTTTCCCCATCCTGGGCTTCTATCCAAGGATGGCTCTCTGCCAGTGGTGGCCTCTACCCCTAATTGCCACACATCTGGCTGGATTCATTTTTGGTAGCACAGCCACATGCCCCCTCTTTGCACTAAGACTTTTCTGATTCTCCCAGCTCCTTGTTGTGCCCCTTTAAACACCAAACAGAACTTCACCCACCTGACCACAGAGCCCTCCTGCTCAGAAAACCCTGAGTGTTCCATCAGTAACATCTCCCTTGGGTCCAGCACCTCTCCTGGCTGGCACTTTGTGCAGTTTACTAACCATGTGCTAGTGACCTGGACACCTGGGGTTCCTGGCTGACCCTGAGGGCCAGGACTAGCTTATTCCTAAAGATAGATAATGGTACTCTGAGTGCTCTTTCAAAAGCAAGCTAACCAATCCAGTGTCCACATCTCCTCTATAAGGCTCTCACACTGCAGGCCATGATTGTTTGCCATAGTCACTGGGCTAGAAGCCAAACCACTGAAGATAGCCTCCAGGCCTCAAAGGTACCCAAACTGACCAGTGCTAACCTGCTTAACTTGCTTACCCTGCTAACCCATCCCCTGGCTCCCTCTACCTCCCAACTAACCATGATGCATCCTTATGGCTCACCTGTGGCATGGCATGCCCTCCTCTTAGGAACTGCAAGTTATGAGCGATCTTTTCTATGGCTATATTCTCCTGATCCTTTGGCTTCACTATACCTTAATAACAGTACAGCAACCCTCTAAAACAGCACCTGATGGCAGCATACCCGTTCACTTCCACATGCCCCAGTCTGTCCTGGATTGAGCACTCAGGAGAAACAAAAAGCAGAACAGGCTGACTGTCCTGTCATCTCAGCTCCAAACCCAACTCCTCCAAGAACCCACCCCAACTCCTCCTCAAGCTGGCAGCCAGGCTGCACTGGAGGTGGCAGAAAGAGGATGGCAAGACTTGGGCCCCAGGAGGCATGAGCAGTGCAGAAGCTTGCCCTGCCACAATGCAGTCACCTTACTTATGTTCTCAGGCTCCCTTGGGTTCTCCAAGAGCCACAGAAGTCCAGGTCTGTCCTCTAGTTGCCAGCATCCTGGCAAGCTGCCCTCACACAGATCACAGGGCTGTAATCCCTGCAGCTGGCCAGCAATTACTGTCTGCCAGACACTTTTATTGCTCCAGTTTATGGTCTATATGAACACAATATTCTTCCTGTCCTTTTCTCCACTGGATTACTATTTTTCTTCAAAAATACATGTAAAGGCTATATTTTTCTCTGTAAACATAATTTTTATTTCAGTACCCCCCAAAAGTCCATAGTCAAACTTTTCATGGTCTTTAAAAGCAAAAAGTGGTATACATGTGTGTGTGTGTGTGTGTGTATATATATATATATATATATGAAAATGTGAAAATAAATCCAGATTCAGAGAGTGCTGTGAATGATGCCATTTAAAATTATAGATTTGAAAAGCTATTTCTGGATTCCAGCAACTCCTAAGGAATAGAGGAAACATTTATTTTGGGTTGTTTTATTTCATTCCCACTCAATTTTGAGCATGGCTGCTTAAAGCAACATTCGTGGAAAGTGACACGGCTATTAATCACCACAGTAGCTACTGCAGCACAGCCTCTGGGGGACCGCGCTGCCCGCCTTCCCTGCCCTCCCTCTGGTCTCTTCTCCCAAAGGAGGCCAGTGACCTACTAAAAAGATAATTGCTTCCCATGTTTCCTCCTCCCTAGCATCATTGCAGCAGTCTGCTGTGAATGACATCTAGTCACACTGGAAAAGGAGAGCTGTGTGACTGAGCCTCCGCCCTTGACCCTGTGGTGGCTTGGGGTGCAAGATTGTGTGTAGGTATACCTGCTGCTGGAGGGAGGGAAGGCAAACCTCCTCCTTCACTGTCCAGGTGCTGAGCTCTGCAGACAAAAACTGAGCTCCTTCCTGGGCCCAGGCCACATTCTCTATGGCCGCCTTTTCTTACTAATGATCCAGCCATAAACTGGATTTCAGGGATCTTGTGAGTGGCCTGTGCTAGACCTCCAC